CGGCGACGCGGTCGAGAACTTCGCCCAGCAGTTCTCGGCTGTACAAAAGCAGACTGAGGCCATCAAGCATATCCTGCCGCGGCGGTCAGCTGCTGCCTCCAACCCACCGCCTGCCGCTCCTCAATCTGCTCGTCGCCGCCCCGCCCGTCCAGGCCCCCGCCAAGAAGGGTGGCAAAGCCAGTGGTAAGCGGCCCCAGGACGGGCGACCCAGAGTTGGAGGGGACTGCTCTCCAGGAGACGATGACTGCATCGCTCCCTCCCCCGGAAGAGGGCCGGGTGGAAAATCCTTTGTTTCGTTTTGTTTATGTTCCGCCGCTGGCCTTAAAACCAGCGGTACCCAAATTTTCAATAAAAGAGCAGTTTCTACCATCTCTGGGTCCGAAGAGGACCCGGAGAGCAGTGGGGGGACAGAATCCTCACCACTCTCATCCTCCTCTGTCGCCAGTGAGCAGCAGTGTGCAGTTCGAGAACGCCACCGAGCCGCCTCCTGCACCTCCTGCCCCGTGGAACCAGGTAAGTGCTGCACAGCACACACAGACCCCGCTACGGGCCGCCTCCCAGAGAGAGCCTCCTGAGCCGCGTCCCTGTGTTCCACCTCGCTGCCCCACTCCGGGTACGCCTACGGTCCCTTTGGTCCTGCTTGCACGGTCTCTGAGAGCCTGGTTAGCGCTCCCCAGTCCGTCTCGCTGGCTCATTCGGACCATCAGGCTCGGCTATGCGATTCAGTTCGCCCGGCGTCCCCCCAAGTTTCGGGCCATCCACTCCACTACAGTGAGAGCAGCCGATGCCCATGTCTTGCGTGCGGAGATCGCAGTCCTGCTGGCGAAGGACGCGATAGAGCCGGTCCCTCCAGCCGATATGAGGTCAGGGCATTACAGTCCCTACTTCATTGTACCCAAGAAAGGTGGTGGGTTACGGCCAATCTTGGATCTGCGAGTTTTGAATCGGAGCCTCCACAAGCTACCGTTCAAATTGCTCACGCAGAGACGCATTTTCGGATGCATCCGTCCCCAAGATTGGTTTGCAGCGATCGACCTGAAGGACGCGTACTTTCATGTCTCGATTCTTCCTCGACACAGGCCGTTTCTGCGCTTTGCGTTCGAGGGTCGAGCATATCAGTACAAGGTCCTGCCCTTCGGGCTGTCCCTGTCTCCCCCTTGTCTTCACGAAAGTCACGGAGGGGGCCCTTGTTCCCATGAGAGAACAGGGCATTCGCCTCCTCAACTATCTCGACGACTGGCTCATACTAGCACACTCTCGAGATCAGTTATGCGAACACAGGGACCTCGTGCTCACGCACCTCAGCCAGTTGGGCCTTCAGGTCAACTGGGAGAAGAGCAAACTCGCCCCTGTGCAGAGGATCTCTTTTCTCGGTATGGAGTTGGATTCGGTCGCACAGACAGCGCGCCTCACAGAGCAGCGCGCTCAGTCGGTGCTGAACTGCTTGGACACGTTCAAAGGCAGGACGGCGGTCTCACTGAAATTTTTTCAGAGGCTCCTGGGGCATATGGCAGCAGCGGTAACTCCGCTCGGCTTGCTTCATATGAGACCGCTTCAGCACTGGCTTCACGGCCGAGTCCCGAGATGGGCATGGCATCACGGCACTCACCGGGTGGCAATCACACCGGCCTGCCGCCAGACCTTCAGCCCGTGGTCAGACCTCTCGTTCCTTCGGGCAGGAGTCCCCTTGGAACAGGTCTCCAGGCATGCTGTGGTATTCACAGATGCCTCCGCCACCGGCTGGGGTGCCACGTACAACGGGCATGCAGTGTCAGGGGTGTGGACGGCTCCCCAACTGCATTGGCACATCAATTGCCTCGAGTTGCTAGCAGTACATCTCGCTCTGAGCCGCTTGAAAAGGCCGCTACAGGGCAGGGACGTACTGGTCCGTACGGACAACACAGTGACCGTTGCGTACATCAACCGACAAGGTGGTCTACGCTCCCGTCGCAACTCGCCCGCCATCTCCTCCTCTGGAGTCAGAAGCATCTGAGGTCGCTTCGAGCCATGTATGTCCCCGGTGTGCTCAACCGTGTGGCCGACGAGCTATCACGAGCTGTGCTTCCGGGAGAATGGCGACTCCACCCCCAGGTGGTTCAGCTGATCTGGAGAGAGTTCGGAGAGGCTCAGGTAGACCTGTTTGCCTCTTCAGAGACCTCCCACTGCCAGCTGTTTTACTCCCTGACCGAGGGAACACTCGGCACGGATGCACTGGCATACAGCTGGCCCCGGGGCCTCCGCAAATATGCGTTTCCCCCAGTGAGCCTACTTGCACAGACACTGTGCAAAGTCAGGGAGGACGAGGAGCAGGTCCTTCTGGTGGCTCCCTATTGGCCCACCCGGACTTGGTTCCCAGAACTCATGCTCCTTGGGACAGTCCCTCCCTGGCCCATTCCTCTGAGGAAGGATCTTCTGACTCAGAGACGGGGCACCCTATGGCACCCGTGTCCAGACCTCTGGAAACTCCATGTCTGGTCCCTGGACGGGACGCGGAGGTTCTAGGTGACTTACCCCCTGAGGTACTTAACACCATCACTTCAGCACGGGCGCCGTCCACGAGACGTGTTTACGCCCTGAAGTGGAACCTGTTCGTCGAGTGGTGTTCTTCTCGCCGAGAAGACCCCCGGAGATGTTCGATAGGGTCTGTGCTTTCCTTCTTGCAGCAAGGGTTGGAGCGAAGGCTGTCTCCCTCCACCCTCAAAGTACATGCTGCCGCTATTTCAGCTTATCACGACCACATAGATGGCAAAACAGTGGGGAAGCACGACCTGGTCGTCAGGTTTCTTAGGGGGGCGAGACGATTAAATCCTCCTCGACCCCCCTCCATACCCTCTTGGGATCTTTCCCTGGTGCTTCGAGCACTTCAGGATGTTCCCTTTGAGCCTCTGCAGTCAGTAGACTTAAAGCTTCTTTCCATGAAGACTTTGCTACTGGTTGCACTGGCCTCTGTCAAGAGGGTAGGAGACCTGCACGCATTTTCGGTCGACGAATCGTGCCTAGAGTTCGGGCCGGGTGACAACCATGTGGTACTAAGACCCCGGCCTGGCTATGTGCCCAAGGTTCCTACCACTCCCTTCAAAGACCAGGTAGTGAACCTGCAAGCGCTGCCTTTGGAGGAGGCAGACCCAGCCCTGGCTTTGCTCTGTCCCGTTCGCGCTCTGCGTATGTACGTGGACAGAACTCAAAGCATCAGGACCTCAGACCAGCTCTTTGTCTGTTATGGAGGCCAGCAGAGGGGAAAGGCTGTGTCCAAGCAGAGGATGGCCCACTGGATAGTGGATGCCATCGCCTTGGCTTACCAAGCTCAAGGCGTGCCCTGCCCGCTCAGGTTGCATGCACACTCCACGAGAGGCGTTGCATCCTCCTGGGCGCTGGCACATGGCTCCTCGCTAACAGATATCTGTAGAGGTGCGGGCTGGGCGACACCTAACACGTTCGCTAGATATAATAGCCTACGTGTAGAGCCGGTCTCCTCCCGTGTTCTCACCCTAAACGGGTAGAAGCAGCGAGAGGCCCGGCTCTGTCGGCTTGCTGCACCCTACTGTGCACCCTTATTGCTCCAGAGTGAAAAACCTGTTGAGTCCTCCAAAAACCCCTCGGCCTGGACATGGCGGAGCGTCCAGGTGCCAGGCCTTTATCCGCTGAATCCTTGAGAACCGGATCTGGGCTGGGTTCCATATGTGTGACCCTACGGGGATCCCATATGTGTATATTTTCCACGGCTGCTCCTAACGGAAGCCCGTGTCTTTCCCTTGGGCTAAGTCACCCACTATCTCATATGTAGTACAGCCTTCGGGCTAGTCCGTATGTATTCCCCACATAACTCCTTGAAGTAAGTGGGTTCCGCAGCGTCCTCCTTCCTAACTGAAGGGCACGCTTTCCCAGTGTTATCCAATAATCTCACTGTATGGGTTATTACGGAACAACAGTGACAGATACACTCTGTGTGTAGCCTCCTCCTATCGTCCTTCTAGGCAAGAAGGTGTAGAGGCTTGCACGGGGCGCTGGATGGGGTGCAGCAGCTGTGGCGCTTTGGTAGGGATTCCTATTGGTCAGTCTGACCTACGTTGTAGTGACTGACCGATAGGGAACGTCTCGGTTACATATGGTAACCCTCGCTCCCTGAGGGAGGGAACGGAGACGTAGGTCCCGTCGCCACATCTGCTGCCGCCCGCTGGGGCGGCCAGCTTTTTCAGGTTTGGCTCCTCAGCAAAAAACTAGTGTGCAATCATAACAGCTGCTGTTAAATACCCGCGCTGACGAGGACGCGCAGCTGATGCAAATGATTGCATGCCAATGTGCATTGGCTTGTTTTAGTTTCACTCGAAGTAGATTGGCCTCTCTAGCGAGATTCCTATTGGTCAGTCTGACCTACGTCTCCGTTCCCTCCCTCAGGGAACGAGGGTTACCATATGTAACCGAGACGTTTCCACTCATAGTGTGACGACAAAATAAATGTGATATATTTTTTGGGCAACTTTCCAATTTGTGTGCCTTTGATTTACTAATATTATAATTAACTGGATACTGAATTATACATGTATTATTTGATCAATTTAATTGAACTTTTATTGAAAGAATTAGAAAAATTAGTGCTGGGCACCGATTAATCGCATCCAAAATAAAAGTTTGTGTTTACATGATATATGTGTGTGTGTGTTGTGTATGATTATTTTGTATATATAAATACGCACACGTGCATGTATATATTTAAGAAATTTTTTGCATGTATATAAATATAAATATTTGATACATAACACATTTTCTTAAATCTATACAGTACATGCACGTGTGTATATTTATACAAAATAATTATACACAGCACACACACACATATATCATGTAAACACAAACTTTTATTTTGGATGTGATTAATCGGTGCCCAGCACTATTACAAATCTTGAAAAAGCCTGACGAACAGCCCCAGTGTATGCAAGGACACCCCAGACGTGCATGAACCGCATGCCTGAGTTGATGCGCGCTGTGGTTCCCTCCGTCAGGATGTTCCACGACGAGACACTGGAGGAGTCCGAGCACTTCTACCGGTCTCAGCCGCAGCTCCTCCAGCTCCTCTACGCGCTCTACAACACGCTGGTGGCTCGCTCTGAGATGGTGTGTTACCTGGTCATCATCCTCAACCACATGATCTCTGCGTCGGTGGCCACGCTGGTGCTGCCCATCCTCATCTTCCTCTGGGCCATGCTGTCGGTGCCCCGGCCCAGCAAGCGCTTCTGGATGACGGCCATCGTCTATACGGAGGTGCGAGATCAGCTGAGGAGCGATTAAAACGATTAACTAATGCTTAAGAAGTGTATTTCATTGTTCGTTCATTTCAACTAATGTTAGCAAAACGAACCTTATTGTTCCAAATGTTCTATGAACAAAAATAAGTTGATTAGTGAGTATTTAAAACCCTCTGGTGCTCTTTGTGTGTTTTTTTTTTCAATGAAATTAATGTACTATATTTTAGTTCGATAATGTTTTTTATTTAATATTTTGTATTTTTAGGGGATTTTATGGTACTAAATTATATTTACGCTGTATTTAATCACTTTTTGAGCTTAGACCTGAAAATTTAATTTCCAATCTAAACTGTGGTAAATCTTGAATGCTGTTGAGCGACAGACTGAAGTTTGATCCCTTTTCAAAGACGACACTTGGCAGATTATTGCTGAAGGGAAAAAAGTTTAGAAAAGTAAACTTAAAAAAAGTCACACGGTTGTTATGAAAAATGCACAAAAGTACTATTTTCAATTTTTATATGAAATATATATTTTCAAAAACATGTTTTAATCTAAAACTGCAATAAAATCAAAGTCATATATCTAAACAAGTTCTAAATATGACGTGATCTCTCAGTAAAGGAGCGTTCAGTGAGATGTTGATCGGCTGCAGTTCCACACGCTTCCACTAGAGGAAACTCTCACATTCATTTCCAATGCGCTCGTTTCTGACGCCGAGAAGCACAAGTGTGACTGTTTTATTCAGGACCGGTCAACCTGTTCGAATCATGTCCATTATTTTGTGTGTCTGTGTGTGTGTGTGTGTGTGTCTGTGTTCACATAGCAAGTGCCAAGATTTCTACCAAGTTTCGTACCATTCCGATGAAGTAAAAAATTCAATGTAAATTTTTTTCTGTCACAAATGACCGTAGAGCACCAGAGGGTTTCGGTTTACTGCACTGGTTAACCACCTACAAATAACCTGTAGTGGTTAAAGGTTCACTATGCAGGATTTTCGTAGACTCACACAAAAATAATGCCTCTCAATCATTACTTAGGTCCGCTAGAAGTGTGTGGTGGTGTTTGTTAAACATTTCTTATTTTTTTCTTGAATTGCTGTGCTTGTCTGAAGTCTCGACACAAAAACAATACGCTAATGTTGCTATCTGTAACTTGAGGCATTGCAGTTACATTTTTATGACACGTAATTATTAGCAAGCTAGACTGAAGATGGCAAATCTGGATCTGTTCGTTCTGTTCATATACTCAAAAAATGCTATTTATGCATGATAACACAATATTTGCAAAATAGCTAATCACTCATCATCCAGCAGGTATTTTCCTGAGTGTGTTGGGCTGTGTGTGTAACTCTATCTAATCAGGGGAGAGGGGTGTGGCTTATGTGATGTGGGCGGGACCAATGTTGATTGCTATGTTTACAAGCAGCTGAAAATCCTGCATAGTGCGCCTTTAATCTTAATAAAATGTCTAAGAGTATGGAAGTAAAATAATGCCAAATGTTTTTGAAACAAAAAAAGCTTGTTGAATTGCACTATTTGAAAAAAAATATGCATTGCATTAAAATGCAAGCACTTTTTTTTAAATGCATTGTATTTTTAGGGCATGCATTTTTATGGGCTGAAATTCAATATTTAAGCTGTCAATAATTAAATTCAAAACATTTCACACACATTTTCATTATTAAAAATCCAATAATCCATATTCACCTTTCAGATTCCACTTCCGAAATATTAATTCTGTTTAAAAATACAACCTATAATATTCGACAGGCAATTTTCGGTCCATTTTATTTCACTTTACAAATTCGCTCCCACAAATTCAGTGGTTTAAATTCGACAGAAAATTCAACATTTCTCATCCAGGAACTGCAGGAATATCAGTAGATTGTTGATTCATAATCTCCATGTGCTGTTAGTCGACCTCTCCAGCAGATACAGATGCAGTTGAGAGAGATTCATCGTCAACGTGTCGTTGTGTTTCATGTCATGTTTGCTCTTACTTTTCACACCCAGGTCACCATAGTGATCAAATACTTCTTCCAGTTTGGCTTCTTCCCGTTTAACCAAACCATAGAGCGGGACAAGTCCAAACCGTTCCACCCGCCGAACATCATCGGTGTGGAGAAGAAAGAGGGATACGTCCACTACGACCTGGTCCAGCTCCTCGCGCTCTTCTTCCACCGCTCCATTCTCAAGGTACAAACTCTGACTTCCTTTAACCCATTAACCCATTCGTTTAACTACAGTAAAAATGTAGGTTCCTATGAGATTTCATTTACCAAAAATAGCCACCGGTGAAACATTAACTGTGTTCTCCCACCACAAATTAATACATTTATGTCACAATATCACTTTATATCACATAATTGTGGAATAATTGCGGACATAATTGAGTCTTTTTGGTGCCTTTTTGTCCTATGAAATATTTTAGAAATGGGATATTCCATGAAAACTGTACTTTAAATCCTGTTAACAGGCTCCTCCCCTAGTGGGCGGCGTTATGTTTATTTTAATCAAATTTTAATCGCAAATAAGGAACTCCCGCACACTATCAGTACTTGCAAGTAATGAAAAAAAAAAGTGTATTAGCAACCAGTCTCATGACCTTCATCAGGCATATACAAATCTTCAAACTCATCCCATTTAAAATAAACACATGACCAATCACCAAAGCTCCATCTGTAGCCACTTAAGCTCATTGAGAATACATAATTAACAACACATCATCATAAACCGTTACCAAACGTAATTGTAAACAGTTACAACCATAATTGAAAATAATATCGAAGTTCGAAAAAGAAAAAAAATCAAATTTTAATCGAAATGTTTTCTAATCGTGACAAAAAACATATTGTTGGAATGGTCTGAGACTCAAGGTTCCACAATACAAGTGACATTATGACATAAATGTATTAATTTGTGGTGGGTCACCGGTGGCTATTTTTGGTAAATGAAATCTCATAGGAACCTACATTTTTGTGATATCAACTTTGAAATTGTTATACAGCCAAAGCCGCAAGTCTAACCAAGCCGTGTTCCAAATTATTTTGTAAAAATATATATTTTGTATCAAATACAACAATTTAGTCCTGCTTTAAACTCTAGCTTTTTTACTCCTTCATTTGTTTGCTTCCACTTCAGCAATAATCTGCTGTCGTCATTGATCGAGAGCAACCTTAAGGTCTGCATTACGAAGCGATCATGAGGTTCAGATCACATGTGTCTTAATGTGTCTTAAGCATAAAATGTGATTTTGTGTATCTCACCAAATATTATTGATCAATAACTCTTTTCCTCCGCCAGTTTTTTTTAGTTGCCAACATTTTTTTATCACTTTATCACAACAATTGAACGGCTCCCAGAACATTTTTTGTATGAACATCTGAACATGCAATATATCAAAAGAAAGAACAGACCCTCTGCTTTTCAACAAAATAACCCGTTTTATTCGACTTTCATGCATTCTTTTCCTATAAACACTTGAATGTGGGTTTAAAAAAAGCAATATTTTGAACAGAAACTTCATGAAAATCTTGTTCAACAGTGAAAACACAGAAAGACAGACATTTCCGTCAATGGCGGGGAAAGAGTTAAAGTGTGTTTCCGCAGAAAGCTCTTGATCGCCTCGTCTTCCTCCTCAGTGCTATGGCCTGTGGGATGAAGAGCGGCCCCGGTCCTGCGCTCAGACGTCCCTCTCTCATGATTCAGACAGTGAAGAGAAAGTCCCGGTGTCCAGAACACACTCCCAGAGCAACTCCTCGGCCCGGCGTCACAGCTCCAGCGTCTCCCAGCGCTCGGCCCGCTCCAAAGCAGGTACACACAACCCTACACACTCGGCTACTTCTGCACACAGAGCTCCAGTGCAACATCTCACAGGCTTAACAAGGGCATGAATGCATGAAGCAGCTCGCACAGAAGTCACTGTCAAACCAAGCATGTTTTCAAGCACATCATGGCCAGTTAATAATTATACTTACAGTATAATTACAGATATAATTCACTATATCCCTCAAGTTGTGTTCGGGTCATTGTGACCTGGAGAGGATTTTCCCATAGGTAATGTTATTGCATTGGACTAAAATTTAATGACTTTACTCACCCAAATTGTGACAACTTCCCACATTTTTTTAAAATTATTTTTGTCATTTTTTGTGTTTTTTTCCCCCACATTGTAACACTTGTGATGTTCCCGGTCAAAAAAGACTGGCCTACAAACAAATGCTTATAAATCTTATAATTATTACCAAATATTGGATTCAATCCTTTTGTCAGCTTGTTTTCTTTCAATTAGGACCAGTTTTATATTTCTTTTGGAAATTTATCAGTCGTATGCCTTATTTATCTGAGCTTACGTACCTCAGTTTAAGCATTATTTGTGTATAATTTTGTAAATTTGACATAAATTATAAAAGAAAAATGCAGTGTTTATCACACTAGTGTGCTTTAATGTTTAACCAGCAGATTTTTTAAAATGCTTTTTTATTTTGTACAAAGTGGCACAAAGTTACACTTGTGATGTTCACGGTCAAAAATGGCCAGCCTACAAAAAATTGCTCATAAATCACTTGTTACGTTTTTTTTATCACCAAATATTGGATTCAATCTTTTTGCCAACTTGTTTTCTTTAAATAAGGACAGGTTTTGTATTTATTTTTGAAACTGATTGATCGTAGGCCTCATTGATCTGAGCGTATATAGTTCACAAATGACGGCCCCTTGAAAATGATTGAGTAGAAAATCAGAGAAACAAATAGTGTTCAGGAGTGTGTTCATCATGTTCATGTTCACATATGTACATGTGGGCTTGCAAACATAAAGGCCTCGGACCTGTGCATGTGTGGATGGATCTATTCATACTCGTGCATCCGCGCGCACACACACACACACACACACACGTTCATGTGCACAAACAAGCTATTGAGAAAAAAAATTAATTACAGGCTTAATTTTTCACAGAGATAAACTTACTGAATCACTGATGCTCAGATCAATGAAGCCTACGATCAATCAGTTTGATAAATACAAATACAAAACCTGTCTTAACTGAAAGAAAACAAGCTGACAAAAAGATGAATTCCTATATTTGGGGATTTATAAGCTATTTTTTGCATGCCGTTCATTATTGACTGGGAATACCGCAAGTGTTATAGTGTTTTCAACACAGCACAAGGGAATATCAAATCTAGTTCATCACATCTGAACTAATGGAGATAGTGGAGATGTGACTCTAAATGAATGTGATTTTCTAGACTGTTCATCTTTTGTGGACAATGGGGAATGAAAAGCAGGTTGAGCCTTAGTTCAAAAGCCTTCGTTTCAGGTTTAAAATGTGAGTTGGTAAATGGCAAAACAGCTAACAGCCACACTGACTTATATTTCAACAATCATGATGTAAAATCATCATGGTCCCAAAATGGTCCCACTTTATATTAGGTGTTAGAAGACTGATATGCAAAATTCCAGATCGCATGGATTCCTATTGATGACTGTATTTCACT